AAAATTTATAAAAATTTATAAAAGTGGTGTACATGTATGTACAAACAGACACACAGATAAACCTCCTTTAAAAGAAAAAAAGGATAAAAGGGAGAACAAAGAGAGAGAACTGTCCATTTCTTGGACAGTCTTAAGAGATTAAAAGCAGAAATGGATTCAAAATTTATCACTTTACAGTAAACCAACAAAATTAAACAGCAGCGTATGTGGTTATGGTATTTCCAGCCTCCCACAACACACAGATGCATCCTGCTAAAGGTCTGGAAGGTGGACTCAGCACTAACCTGCGGGTTCAAGGAAGCCTGAGCCGCTGTGCGGGAAAGGAGGTGTCCCAGCAGTGGTGGCCTTCTTGTCATCCCCCTCGGCTCCATCCTTTCCCGTCTCCAGGGTCTGTGGGGTGGTGGTACTAGATCGGCCAAATCTTGAAAAAAGCATCCCGCCGAGGCCCTTCCCGATACTCGCAGCTCCTGTATTCAGCAAGGAGGGGAAAAAAAAAAAACCACCAAACCACAAGGGCAGCTAAATCAAACCGCAAATTAAAGTCACCCATCAGTTAGAGCTGAGTGACAGACGAAGGAAAACACTATTCATGCTTTTCTAGGGTGGGAACAGCTTATCTGACTGAAGTGTATGCTGTTTATTCTGAGACTAATCTAGCGTACAAGCAAAGGCTATAATTTAGAAAGTGGAGTCAGGAGAACAGAAATCCATGAGAACACTTCTGCAGGAAGAAATCTGGTACTTTTAAGGATGTGTTGTGATTCATCTTTCATAAAAAAGTCTAAGATTAAGACAAAAATTATTTATAACAATTTGAGTACCTTCTGCACCTAAGAATCCCATCAAGACATCTAAGACACTCCTCCCATTGAGGGTCCTTATGTTGGCATCACCCCTACAGCCATGCTGAGATGCTACATCATCCTTTAAAAGGGATATTCTGGTTGCTCAGGAAGAGGGGGGTAAAAGTTAAGGACAGCTCTGTAATGTTTTCACCTGACTTTGCTGCCACCTTATGGACACGACATTAAAGCGATGATAGTAACGCGGCAAAAAGCAGCCTCGCTTGGAAACGCCGCCTATTTCCACTTAAGGACTGAACTGTTTTCATATACTTTACTTATTTGATTGGGAAGATTCCTGGCACTAGGTCACATCAGCCTTCTTTCCAAGTCCCACACAGAGAGCTAAAGAAAAGCCTTGAGTCAACAAAAACTGCAAGTGCCTGCTCAAACATAAGCTCCAGTGAAAGTGAATTTAAGCTCGGTTAAACCAGGGCTTATTTTCAATCAGAAAGCCAGAACAGGACAGACTTCACAGTAAACCAGCCTGAATTTTCTTTTTTTTAAATAATGAGTTAAATGGAACTGTAAATGTTTTCATAAAGTGTGATTTTTTTCTCCTATTTTCCAATACCAGAAAATGTAGTTACAAAACAAGCTTTATTTTTCTTTTTTTTCCCCATGAAGTACAGTGGAAACTATTAAATCACCAGGATGTTACTTCAAAAAGGCAGACAACAATAAGGCAGCCATAGCATAAACTCCCTGACCCACATCCTCTCCCCGCAAGCCTTGACTCCGGTGTACGTAAACTGTCTTTTCTTCAAAGCAAATGTTAATTGGGATCAAAACAAGCCATACACCTCAACACAACAAATCAAACCAGCCAGGAGCAGCTTGCTTACAGTTGCACCTCAAACACCACACCATGGAGCAGTGAAGCTCTACAAGAAGGTCCTCTACATTAAAAAAAATATTTGATATAAAGAACAATTACCTAATATACTTGCTTTGCCAATGTTCGTTATAGACTCCCCGTAGTGGCGTCGAACCATGACTGGTGAAGTCATTGGGCTGGGTACAGTTGAAGCACTTTCGCTGTCAGTAACTGAGGTAGGTTCTTTTGTTGGGTTGAGAAAATTTGGCTTCATGCACTCATAAGGTAGAGGGTTTGCAGTGTTGTACCAGTGGATCTGGACAGGCGAAATGTTGCTGTAGTGTTTCAGAATTAAAGGTTCTAATCTATAGGCCTGCGAGAATAATTCAGAAAAGAAAATCGTGAGCGTCAAGACTACAAAAATCACACTCCCTTCCCATCCAGAGTCCTCTCCAAGCTCAAATCCAAAATATCTGTAACGAGTGAAGCCTACAAAGTGACAGAATAGCGGTGTTATGTTCTGGTTCACTTTTATTTTCCCAGCCTGGAAGATCTATGAGCTGCCCAGTTGCTTGCACATTTGAACATTTCTCTGCAACTCCTACGACATGTTGCTGTTACCAACACACAGGTGACTGTTAACAGATGTTTGTTATTACGCGTTGACAGAGCAAACTTTATTATATACAGTTAAACTGATTCTGCACAACACAGCAGAGAGGGAGGAACTGCCTATGTAAACATTTTGTTTGATGACTCTTCATTGATCCCTGTGCAAACCAAGAATTGGTGTGCCTATTAAAAAAAATGTCTATAGATTCTTTGTTTTTCTTTGTTTATTTAGATGAAGAAAAGCATTCTGCACTTCTTAAAGCTAAGAAAAGTTAGTATTTGCAGAGTGGGACCACAGACTGCAGCCTGACCACTGGTCCTAGATGTCCCAGGAAAATTCTGGTTTTGGAGTAGCTGGAGCTAAACAAGCTCCTGAGATGAACAGAACCAGACTGAAGTCTGAATATTCTCAGAGTTTAAACACAAAGCATCCACAAATTACTGTTCTACAGTAAGCAGGAAATCCCAAGTCAAGCTTGCATCAAAGAAGTTGCCAAGATGATGGAGACCAAAGGTCCAGCATCCTGCCTTTGATAACAGCAAACACTGGCTGCCTGTGGAAGAGTGTCAGGACAGGGCAAAGCTGTGCCAAAACTGCCCTTCCAAGCACTGTCCCACTTTCTAACAACCTGTTATACTGGACCCTTTGGGGAAAAAAACCCAGTGTCTATTTTTTACAGTATCTTGAAAAAACTGCTTGTGAAGCCTTTTTTTAACAGCAGTAGTATCTTTGGACAGATGATGTTTAAGGGAAGTCAGCAAGTTAAACACAAGTTGGAACTTGACTGAGAAGGATTATTTCTTATGTGTTTGACAAAAAAAAAGAGTATCTCAAATCTTATGCTTATTAATATGAAAAGAGAAGCAAAGTATATAGTATGTAAGGCAATTATTTGTAGAAATTTATTCTATAGTTACAAACCCCAAGATATTGTACAATAATCATCAACAAACAGTTCAGTGCTGGAACATACTCGTGTTGATTCACACACTTTGAAGATCACACATTGGCATGTAGCTGATGCTTAAAACCAGTCAAGGTAAGAGCTAGCAACTGCAATTAACACTCACCACTGGATCTGTTGGATGAAAAATATTTAGTAAGCGGTTACAAATTGTTCTGGGCAGAATATGGTCTTGACTACCGCTGTTTCCTGGACGGATGCCACGCAACGCCAAAAAAACTGCTAGTGGAGATCCCATACAGAAGAAATTCTCAACCTAGGGAGAGATTTCATCCACGTTAATAAGGATGGAAATAATGCTTTCTAATAGGGCTGGATTTGATTTCTCTCTTTCAACTGATTTCTCACTTTCCACCAAAGGACTCGTATAGTATTAGTAAGTCAAAACAGGGAAGACCACTATAACACACCTACTATAACATTAAGTATCCCATTTCTCTTTGCTTTGAGAAGAGAGTTACATGTTGTGGTGCTCTATAGTTGGAAAACTGAAAAACAAGTCGGCTATTTGAACCGAAAGAGGTCTACCAACACTGGAAAGGTTGGAGCAAGAAGAATGTGGAAGACATGAACGAAATGTCATGAGTTTCACAAGGTTGAAGTCAGATTTCTCGGGAAACTTCCCAAAGCTTACCCACACCTTTTTAATCCTACCCTGACCAAGTACTCTGTGATCTGTTTTGCTACAGACAAAGTAGAGACACAAGTAAAACCACCCAGTGTTAAGTGAACAGAATGGGGCTTGCCCAAAGTGCCACCACGTCACACATCTGGACCCACCACCCAGGACAGGTACAGCACACGAGTGACTCCGCAGGCTGCTCTCATGTCACCCAAAGCTACTGTGACTTTGCTGTAAAAGGACTGCCTCCAACAGTGAGAGGCAGCTGAGTAAACCTGAACTGCAACCGCTAACCCATCTGATAAAGGTCACCAAACATGCACCAGCGATAATGACTTTGTCCACTACCAACAGTGACCTAGAGGTGAATGGCTTCGTATCCCATCACCAATCCTCACACATCATCTCCTAGGAACATCAAATGACTCTGTAGCCAAAAGTATTGTCAGAAATCAAAATTACTTTTTAACCTTTAGAATATTTTCTTGTAAGAAAAATTAATTTTACCATTATCAGACCTTCACTGCAACTTTCCCAATAGCAGCGCCCAGTTTATAGGGCACTACAACTGAGCAACTCCCAGTGCACTGCTACTTAACCAGAGAGAGAAATTGCTGCGTTTTTGCTCAGTGAATGTGGAGGCCGCTTGGATTCCCACGTGCCTTCACTATCTGTCAGCACATGGGGCGAGGGTGTAGAAATAATGGTCCGTTTCATCTATTGGATTCCAGCGCTGCACAAAACATTCTTCCTCCTCTGACTTGGCACTGGTACCCCACCTCTTCCTTCCAGAAGAATGCACAAGTCTCAATTCAATAGGAAAAAAAAAAAATCTAGGTCTTCAGCAAAGCGATTCAATGTGATACGCTGCAAAGCACTGCTCTGTCATCTACATTGTCACTCTAGTCTGGGGCAAAGCTGCTCTTCTCTCTTATAATCGAGCTTTACAAAGACCCTTACATTTTTGCAGTTTTGACAAAAAGCCTTCTCATCTTCAAACACAATAGAAACAGAGATTCACAGCATGATCCTTTAAACTGAATAAGTAACCTTTGACCCATCCATCTGATATTCCTGTATCCAGCACCTGGAGCACACAATTACAGTCTTTCTGCTTCAAAAAGAAATCGGAAAGTGACTGCCAGCTTGCACTTGCTAACAGATGCTTAAAAGATGTTTTAATGAATTCACCCTGGGCCACTACAGACCAGGCAAAAATCTCAAAAGGTAAATAGCTTCAGCAGTTACACAGTGCCTGGCTTTTGTTCTGTTGTTTCTATTGATAAACGCAGGATTAGCAGTGCCCACAGACAGTTGTTTCCTTCTCCGAGGGCCCTGTTCTTTGCTATGTATTTTCTTACATGTGTGAGCCTTGCAACACAGTTTTCCAGCTCTGGAAATCTTTATAAAGTACCAATTGGTGGGTACCTTAGTGGGTGGTACCAGACCAATACCAAAACAGTGAATGCTAAAAATCAAAAGTAAGCCTTCCAAAAATAAAGATCTTTAAATTGCTGCCATCAGACTCTCAGCGCTGTTGCAAAGTGGCTGAAGAGAAGACTGCCATGCCATGAAACCTCCTGGGAATAGAGGACTAAAATCTTTCTAGAAAACATTTACTAATTTTGGTGTTTCTTCTTTGTGGGGCACTTCACATATACTCCCGTAAATATTTAACAACAGAGCAGAAATGTTTAAGAACATGAACTTTCAGGATAGCATTTTCTCCCGGTTATGATTCACAAACAGAAGACTTAACGAATTTATTTGTGTTTTAAGCAGAAGCTGAGCCGAACAGTCATCCATTCAACTTAAGGCTGCAGTATTTTCATAATTTAAAAAACCAAAAGTGTAATGAGCCAACAGAAGTGAGGCAGCACGGCTCTTCTGAGCACGTGTGTGTGATAAACGAACGTGTTTGGTGGTGATGTTAGAACAGAAGACACACAAGGTGATTACAATTCATGTTTCTGTGTTGCCTTTCAGCCTAGAGGGTCCCAAAAATCCTCCCAGAGCAAGGAAATACAGACCTCTGCAGCAGCCTCTACCCCATCCAGCACCCAGGAACGTCCTGCAGCCTTAGCAAAATGAGCAGATTTAATCGGTACTACACGGGGAATTTAACCAGGCAGGTGTGTGTCGAACTCCTACGGCATTCAGTCTAAAGGCTTCCCTCCTCCCAGATAAGGCTGCACATCAGCAGCCCATTAAGCTCTCCTAATTCTTGTACATGTGGTAAATCACTAGTATCTTATAAATAATTTGTGATCGCTGTTACCAACATCGTCATCGCTGTCAGATGATGTCTGACAGTCTACATAGAAACCACAAGGTCGAGTACAAGCAAGAGCTTCTTCTGGAAAAGGTTCTGTAAGCCTGGGTGGATGAGAAGTGTGAAGGAATCCTGAAGAACTTTGGGCCAGCACATTGACAAGTCCAGAGTTAAATTAATTTCCATCTCAGCACTAGGGAGCAATCGAGGTACATCCTGCTCTCCTCTTCCCCACTGTGGCTGAACATCATCCCACAACACAGTTATTTTCATGCACCACAGTCATGAAGAGGTAGGTATCGCACCGTTCCCCTTGTTTTCATGTTCTTCATCCCCTTTAGCCTCTAATTCCAATTCCTCTTACACAGCTGGTGGGGAGAAGGCTGTGCTTCTGAGCATTTGTGATGGGGTGTTGGCTTTGCTTTTAACCCACGTGGGTCCTATTGATTTAACAGTTTATTCAATTATGCCATCGGAGGAGAAGTAGAGGAAGAGAGACAAAGACACGTCACCCTCAAGCTCCCATTCTGTTGACTTGTCCAATATATTTTTAGAGTACAAGACCCTCCATATCTCCCGGTTTGGGTTGATTTTTTTTTTCTCCCCCTCCCAAAAGGGTCAGTCAATCACACAGACCATTTCCTCTAATATTAAACACCAGCCAAGTTAGCTGCTGGATTTATTCTTGCACGTCTTACCAAAAGCTATCTTTGTGCTCGCTGAACATCAAGCTGCTTAATGTAGGACTAGTGACTTTCTCTCATCCTGGGAAGCTTAATTTGTTTCAGACCATAAAAGAGCCAACACACCACCAGTGGCCAGCCCTTTTAATTTCAGCTGTACGTGCCCATTCCGTTGTGTAATACAACCTACGGAGATCAGCACCCAAAGACTCCAGTCTCCTGTGTCACACTGACCGAAGGTAAGAAAAAGGATGTACTACAATGGAAAATTACCTAGCAGTAATTTAGATGGATATAGCCGTCTTTTCTTCCCTTTCTTTCCCCTTCTCCTCCTGCTCCTTCTAAAAAGCATCTGTTCAAAAAATCTTCAGTTTAAAAAAACAACTGAGCGAAGAATAATCTTTCACAGAGCTGGAGGAGTATCAGCCTGACTCGAGCTTCCTTGATGGTAGATATAATAGCACAAGACATGCTTTTAAGCCGTGATGAAAAGGAGAAGGTTATGACAAATTGAATTATGGTTAGTTTCCTCTTTTTTATGGCTCAAGATTGACCTTGGCTTCTAGGAGTCCTTCTGAACTCAGAGGGAAAGAAAAATGGCAAGTGAAGAAACAATAACCTATTTTCTTCTCATCTATCACGTCACATTTTTATGGTTTCGTATTTCAGGATATAGTCAAGCTACTAGAAAATACTGTACATCCCACCAAGAAGCTAGAAAACTTATTTTTTGCGATGATATGAAATTGTAGCAATTTATACAGCTGACGAGCAAGCAATCTATTTCATGAGTCTAAAAGTAACTTGTGCTAACTGTCAAACCAGCGTAATTCAGAAGAAAAATCCACTGCTGGAGGAAATTCAATCAGGTTTGCTCAGAGATGTGACATGTTAGAAATAGTCCCCAAGGAAAATGGATTAGTCCACAATGCAGAAGTTAAATTCTTTGAGATACATGATTAATATAATTTGCCAAACGGTTTTTACCTTCCCACATAGTTGTGCATGTGTAATATATTAACAATTTTTATACAGGTTTATATATTTACATATAAACATACATATTTGTAATCAATAGCAAGTTATGAACACAGTAACATGTGTACATTAAAATTATTCTACCAACATCACGTCTAAGGACATGGAAAAAAAAAGCAATCAGAAGAATTCATATTGCAGATGTATTTTTACAGAAAGTAGAACACTCAGAGAAAGCCTCTCCAACATACATACCTTAAATTTTAAGACAGGTGGTTTTGATATGGTGGATGCCTTTAACCCATGTAATCTCTCTTCTATCTCTCTCAACCTAGAAAATAGAGATCTTTCTGAGATCCAATATAAAACGTAGCCTTAACCTCTCTGATCCAAATAGGCATTCCAACCAACAGTTTTGTCTGCTGGGAAGAGAGAGCGATGGCATCAGTATTTCTTGGAGGCAGCCCAACTGATTAAGAACCAGATTAATCCTGCTTCTCTGACCGCAGAAGGAATCAATCAAGACATGACAGTTTCCCTGTTCACCACCCCAAGCATCTGCCCACCCTTCTTCCTCAGGACTAGGTGACTCACCTCCTGCTTCCCTGGTGTTTTTGCAGCTAAATCACCTAATCACCTGTTGTTTTTTTTTTTTTTTTTTTTTAAACACAAAGCCACAGGAAACTCCATGGCCCAAGCACTACAGAGTTCTGTATTGTGGTGGAATATCTGCAGGACAGTGTCCCATCCTTTCAACTATCATTAAAAAAGGTTGCTCACCTGCTCTAGTTAGCTTGAATTTAAAAAAGCAGCTACAATAAAAAGCACTCATATGGACTGGTAAAACTGTCCCTGGTCCCAGCACTGGAATATTATGGCCTCTTCAGAGCAGGAGAACACCATCTCCTCAAATTCCACAAAAGCAAAATGTAAATCAATATATTAAGCTTAATGTAAGCTCTGTCATCCTAATTAGAAAGAAGCAAGCCCGGAGCTGAAACTTCCCAACGAGCAGTACTTTCAAAAAGGTTTGTAGGCTTTAATGAGCGTGATTCAGTCTTAAAAAAGAAGAATTCTTGACTCTTTTGAACTGTTGTTGAAGGTTTCCAATACACAACCTCATATGGTGTATGTAAGTTATTCAAAATTTAGAATATTTATACATGCTACAACACACCCTATTCAGGCATAAGCATTTCCAGAAATCTGCTACATGTTTGCCATCCTTAAAACACTAGAAATGCAGAAGTTACAGAAAATATATTACGGACATCCTACAATTTCAGGCTGAACTGCACTAAGGTGGCTCACGAAACGGAGAGCCACTCGAGCTATCCAGAAGTGCCAGTGTCAAATGATACTTGGACTACTGTGGATGCAACCTGAAGCACTTCAGAGGATGCTTAAGGAGCTGGAGCGTGAGTGTGAACATGGTTAATTTTTCCCTGATCATACTCTAGTGATATGCCTGAAGGGTCATCTTACCTCTGGACAACTTCATTAGGTTTCTTATTTCCCTTCTCTCAGAAAGACTGCACTTTATCCAGCCTTGCAGCCGACAGAGATGGCCTGTAGCAATCCCTAATTACACACAGACCGATTCCCAGCACTGCAGGAGATCTGATGCTGTATTAATGCTGCCCAAGTACCGCCAATACTAAGATAGGTTTCAAGAAGGAACCAAAAAAACCTGTGATCATGATTTATCCTCACCTCCCACTGGAAAGACTGAAGCTCAAGCTACTATTATTAGATTCTCTAATTACGGGTGTCTCCTAGCACCTCCATACCCAGGTTAGAACAGGGAAATCATCTTAACGCTGTAGATGCATCACAATGATCTAGAAGGTCCCTTAACACTGAGAATCCCTCCCAACACTTGCAAGGTGCTGAAACCGAGATGCTGTTTGTCCCAGCGAGCAGTGCTGCTTCGCACTCCCAGCAGCACAAACATCTCTAGATGGCAGCGGGAAGAAGCTGGTAAACGATCCGCAGCAGAGCAGTAATCCCGTAAGCCCCATCACAGCAATGACAACACCGGTATCCAGCTGGTGGAGCTCAATTTCCAAGCTGAGCCTAGGAGAAAAATTCTCATTTTTCTCCAGAAACTCAGGAATTTCACTGCTCAGGTTCGGCTCAGTATTACAGCTCACCGCCCACCTGCGAGCTCCTTTGTTGTGTTTCTCCTCAAGTATCTGAGGGCTCATGGCCTGATGTTTTCTTTTCTTCCTGGCTATGATCTGGTCAGTGAGCAGTAGCTAGTTGCTTGGTTGTGGTACAGCCTGTAGGATGTGGATTCAGAGCTCCCATTAGCAGTGCCAGCTCAGTCCTGTGTTTCTATCATTTACCATTACCACTCATCACCACCAGAAGAACATCAGCCACAAAAAATAACAGGAAACACTGGAAACACTCAACAGGCATCATCTAGGGATGTGGTTTTCTCTTTTAATAATCAGAAGTGGATGCATTACCGTTGTTTAGTTCTGTAAAGTTCTTCAAGTAAACATTGCTCCTCGTAGCTCATCCAACGGTCCTCAAGCTCCTCCTCCTCCTTCTGCAGCAACTGCTCGTAAAGCCTGACCGGGTTCCAGCCGGTCATGATGTCGTAGGTGATGACGCAGCCCAGCGAGTGCGACACAATGGAGACTTTCCCTCCTTTCTCCTCAAACTCTGGGTTCCGGGAGCAGAAGAGTGTGTATAGCCGGTTCAGCTCTTGCTGCAGCCCTTTGACCAGCTGTTTCAAGAGGGTAAACAAAGAAAATTTAATATCCACATTTAATATCCTGTCCATATTCATGTATATTCATGTACTACACTGACCAGGTTCTTGAGCATGCGTCTAGGATGAGCACCATGGTCTGTGCACTTGGGCTGGGAGGATGAGCAAAATCTTACGGTCAGCAGCAACGGTTTGGTTGACCGTCGCTGACTCCAGTGGCTCATCTCTCCCCTCCAGATCCAGCAGCAACCAGGACACACAGTGGCCCTGGAACTGCTACACTACGCAGCCCAAGGGATTAAATTGAAATAAACCCTTAAACAAATGACAGCTGTGCTTAAAGTACGTAAGAGCATCCTCTGAGCAAGGTACTTGGTTTCCACTTGTGATCCATCAGCACAACAGCGACCATTAATACAGCTGAACTTCCCTTATTGCTTGTTTCTCCCCCAGTTTCTCTACCTTTTCACAGCACTGAATGTTCCTCCTGTGTCAGAGGTTCAGCTCCTTTCTTACCCTGAGGAGGCTGGAAGGAGCTTGAGCCCTACGTTATCCAGAATCAACTCACACCTCTGCCACTTGGCACAGAACCCTGGGCAGGTCATATTCTCTCTTCTCCATTGATCAAAGCGAGGCAACAGCATTCCTACCTCATTGCAGGGGACTGGGAAGATAAATCCACTGAAATGGATATGCCCAGATGCTGCAGCAACAGCCTAAATGGGTTCAGGGAAAACATCCTCTAATTGCTTCTGGATCTTCATGAAGCACACTCATCAAGTCTTTCATTATTCTGCCCACTGCTCAGCTACAAGGAGGTGCAGCTTTTCTGTCCTACTTCCCCTCCTATCGTAATTTTCTTCTGAAGGAATCAGAATGAAATGATGCTGCTAAAGAATAAAAAGCCTCATCTAAGGCAAAAGGAAGATATGGGAGGAGAAAAAGCACAAATGAGATAGGCAGAGCCAGAATTTGAACATTTGATACAGACAATGCGAAGAAAAACAGGTTTTTCTGGTTATAAGTTTTTAGGAGTTTTTTTGGGGGAAAAACAGGAATGCAACATGGTTCCTCAAACATCCCAGGCTAATCCTATAGTACTATTGCAATGAATATATATTGACCCTATGTTAATTGAAGCTTATCTGCTTCAAATCCTACGCTAGGGTACGTACGCATAAAAATGTTGAGATTGACAGAAAGTATTTTTTAGAGAGAAATGTTGGAAGCCATGAGATTTAGGATCTAGACAACACAAACCAGGCAGCTTGGCGTGTGAAGCTCAGCATGGTAACTGAGCAATGCTTCCAGGCTCCATAGAGGAGGACAAACAAGAAATTGCAAATCATTCCCTTCTTAGCAACAGGAAATTAAAGCCATTGAACGTGTAATTTGAACATGATTTTTTCAAGAGCCTGAATCATTACTGAATATAAATATGAATGGCACTAGGGCTGGCAGTGTTTGATACACATTTCACTGAGTGAGAAGCCACACACCATACCCCATGCCTAAAGCACTGTGAAATGATTAGCAAAGCTTTGCAGCAGCTTGGAGGAGTAAGTATCACAGTACCTATTTTCAAGGAGTTTTGACTGATGCTGCCTATTCTTGCGTTTGGCTCTATACAGACTTTGGACACTGCTTTCACTCGTGAACAGACAGGCAGAGTTTTTAGCAAGAGTTGGAGCTGAAAACAGAAATCAGGACTAGCTTTGGCTGGTTTTCTCAATTTAAAAAGGTTTTGATTAAAACCCAGAACAAAATAGCAGAGATCTGTTGAAATCCAAGTGTTTTGGGATTCCTGCCAGGCGCTCAGTGAAATGAGGGAAGGCTGATACCCAGCAGTTTGCACGCCTGGCTGCCATGGTACCCTCCAAGGTGGCCAACACACATTGTCCTGCTGTTGGGGACCTCAGCAAGGAGCCTGGGACCCCCCAGCCATGCAGCAGACACTCTGTATGGAGCGCTGGCTTCAGGTTTCAGAGCTGGTAGCTTAAAAAATGCCAAGCAAACTAGTGCTGGGCTCATCACAGCTTCTAGCATCCCTGTCGGTACAGAAGGGAGATGAGTAATGCCATCTTGTTTTAAAAAATCCTGAATAAGCCATATTAATAGATCTCAGTGTCCCCAAATTTTTCCTCTAGTGGGAAAAGATGCACAACAGCTCAACTGCTTCCCTTCATTTCTTGCTGCATAAAAGCCATTGCTCCCAATGTCCCACCCAACTTGCTCAACAGCCCTGTATCCCCTATTCCTGCACAGCTGATTTCCCTGGAAAAGCAGATACCATCCAGGAAGAATGATATTATGTCAGGCATACAATATTCTAACCTGTAAAAGAAAAGCTTGGTTTGAAAAGGGCTCGAGTTCAAGAAGTGTAACATGAAGTACTTTCAGATCTCTTTTGTAGTTACAGCCTGATATCTATCCTAACGCTTCATATAAAAATACCTTCTATAAACACTAATTGTCTTTATATTTGCTAAAATCAGTGACTTTTTTCACTGGAATTAAACAGGAAAAATATAACTATCAAATTTTCTCTCCTAAATGGTATCACTGTAACTAAACCCAACTTTTTAAGAGATTATTTTTTTTATCCACAGCTTGTCTTTTTGCTCCCTCTAAAGGCTCTATGGGAATTTGCTTAATTAAAAAAGGAAAAAAAAAACCCCAACAAAATAACAACTCGCTTCTCAGCCTCCCAAAACCACAACACCCATGTCTATACCTCAGTGTCAGGCTGAAAGTAAAGGGTGCCTCACCCAGAGCTCGCTGCCAGTTCCTCCTGCTCTCCTGCACCTGCATCCAGTGACTTCCCAACTAAGGGAGCCCTTTTCCCACTTGTTTCCCTTCTGCCAACCCCTAGTCTCCCTCGTCTGACAGTCCATGGGATCTATTATATGCTTAGGAAGCACCTGCTGTTTCTGCCTGAAAACAGGAAAGCAGGAATTATCCAGGAAAAAAAAAAAAGGAATAGTGGAATGCAACACGACCAGACACCTCTTTCTCCTTCCATCTCCCCTCTTGCCTCCTCCCTCCCAGTTCCCACCTGATTTTGGGGACCAGTGGGACTGAACACTCACAGAGAGCTGTTTCTCCAGCCCCTGCAGCAGTGCTGTTCTTTGGCAGCTCCCCCAGCAGGGCTTTCCCCACAAAAAAGCTAGAGTTGCCTTGGGTTTCTGCCCAGCCCGTATTACCATCTCCTAAGGCTTCTCCCGCAGACTGAAATATCTCACAAAAAGAATAAATGTGGCAGCAGTCGAGTTGATTTTTTTTCCCCCCCCTCCCTGTGTGGCTGCTCCTACAAACCCCCCTTGCTGCTCTGACTGCTGATGTGCCGGCTGCTCCGCTCGGCTCCGCTACCCTCAGCTCTTCCAGGAGGACCAGGGAAATGCAGCACGTTACTGAACAGCTCAAACCACCGTTACAAAGGGAACACTTCCTATTCCTTTGAAAAAACCAACCATATCAAATCTCTTCCTCCCAGCTGACCTTTCTACCACAGCATCATCCTGAGGATACTGCAATATTTCAAAGAAAGATTCAGAAAATCTTCCAATGTTCCTATTTTCTTTGCCAGAAAAGTCCTTTTTCCCTATTCTGATTTTTAGGAAAAAAAATTCCCAAGCATCTTTCGCAGACCAATTGTTTCAGTAGAAAAGTTTAGTGCAGGATTAAAATGCTACAAGCCTTGAAGATGTACCACTGCGAATGCTCACAGAGACTGTAACCACTGCAAATACTCATGGATACCTAGAGAAAACGCGATAAAAATAAAGCAGGACTTCGGAATGCCTGGAACCTTTAATGAAATCTAATTTGTGAGACTGATTTTATGGCAAATCATAATGGGGCACATGAAGCACCCCACAATTCACAGGCTGAGAGAGAGCTCTTACGTACTATTAAATTTTCAGACCTGCTCAATACCAGCAGAAGCCCAGATACTTGAGACACAGCCAAGAATCCAAGAAATGGATGTGTTTCCTACATGTTCTGGTCTGGTCCTAAAGGGCAAGGGAGAGACTCGATTTCCAGCAGTTAGAGATCTCGGCAGAACAGGGTGAATGGAGAAAAAAAGCCACCGGACCAACTGAGCTGCTGTTTCCCGGCGATGCTCTTCTGGGAACATTTTTCATTTTTGCTTCATGAAAAGGAGATTGATTACTAGCTGCTTGAAGTTCCCTTTATCGGCTGAAGTTTTGCCAATAAATCTCCCATGGAGGAAACCCGAGCCCGCAGGATCAAGTCGCTCAGAAGCCATCAGCTCATATTCCGACAGACTGAGGTTAAATGTTCTGCACCCTTCACTAACCGAATTAAAGGCAGGGTAAGGAATGGTCTTTCTGCACATTCATGGAGAGCCCGTGTCACAGCCAAGCAATATGAGGGGAAGCCAAAAAACCAGACTGTCGACCAAGGAATGGGTTGTTGGACCTGATCAGGCCAAAAATCCCCTGCTTTGCAGTTACGTGCCTGCTTGGCATGCACGTGGCTTCCAAGAAGTCAAAAAATAACAGCTCATTCCACCCATCCAGGAATCCTGGTGGCAAGGGCATGTGTTTTATAGGGACGAGATGGGAGTCTGAGTCGGATGAGCAATGCCACGGTCATCTCGGGCAAAGGAAGGGGCTGTGGCAAGGCTGATAACAAGGATCATGTCTCTAATCACCTCTTGGGTATTGGGTAAGCCTCAACTGGATCATGATGGGGAGCAGGTAACCATGTAACAGTGAAACATCCCGAGCTGCCGTCTGTCTCAGCTAAAGCCCTTTGGTGCAGAACATTAACATCAGCCTGTGCTGAGCTGGAAAAAACCAAACCTCTAAACCCCTGCCACCAGCACCCAAACCAGCTGTTCATTCCTCCTCTGATGCAAAAGAAGCCTTGCGAGACACCAGCGTAAATAAAGCATGCTTGCTTCTTGCACAGCAGAGGGAGGTCAGCTGGCTGTGTGGTTGGACAAACACCTCCTGGACCTACTCCAAGGAGATGCAGGTGGGAGGAGGAACTTCAAGCTCTGCCCACTCTAGTGGGCAGATCGCTGCGGTCAAAGAGGCTTTTCAGTGCACGCCAAAAGCACCAGGGGAGAAAAACGACATTTTCCCCTCAATGTCCAGGAAATGAGTTTTTTTTCAAGAAAACAAGGAGTACAAACCCCCTGGGCTGGCACCCTGAGCAGAGAAGTAACATAGAGCTTGTGCTGCTCTTGCTTAAATCCTCAAATGACCCGTTTGCTGCTGAAATTTGGATATAGCACTCCAGTCCCAACCTCTTTGATCTGTCAAAGCCAAGAAAAATACTTGCTCTCCTCTTGGGCTCTGCTGATCATCCTTTTCCAAGACTGCTCTCAGCTCTGATCACCCCTTTGCTGGAACTTTCAGAAGTTCTTTCTCTCTGCCTTCTCCACAGGACCCTCACCCACTGGATAATCTTCTCACATGAACAGCTTGATGCCCAAGAGAAAAAAAAACAAAATCAGATAGCTAAATATGAAAAGGGAGTGCAGGAAACCTGACCTCTGCACCCCTCCAGCTTGAATAGCATGACTGTTTTTGTAGGCTTCGTGGGAAAGGAATTTTAAGGAGATCCGAGGAAGTGTTGCAAGCAGCTCCCTCCAAATGTCAAGAGAGCTTCAGGAGAAAGCGCAACCTCGTCTGAAATTCATCAAGCAGGCAATAAGGAGGTGTATGAGCCAACTGGAGGTAGAAGAAGGTCCTTAAAAGCCAGCGAAAGAGCTGCAGCTCAAGGATGGATTGTGAAGGATCATGAAAGCAAAGATAAGGAATGTTTGCTTCACGAGAACCGGGAGAACGTGCCAGCACACAGCGCAGAGACGGGGAGCCTGCTCACCCTCCAGAATACAGCAGTTGTCACCCTCCCTGACGGCATTGCTGACGGATGCCAGAAGAGTGTCACAACAACAGACGAGAGGCCAGAACGAGACTCCGCGGTGTGAACAGCCAGGAATGGCTGCGTGTCTTAGTGATGTTAGGGAAAAAGGATCCACGGCTCTGTCCAGACCCGAGTCTCTCTCTCAGTGTCCCTCCTTCTGCTGGAAAGCTGAGACTCACCCATTTGTAACCAAGTCACTATGTTCAAGACTAAGTTTAGGATACTGGATCTGCCTGAACCTATCCCTTTGTAAAGTTGAGAATACATTCAAGGACAATCAAACGAATTAAGCAAGCCATGAAAGTGCTGCCAAGCTGCTCCTAGGTTCAACAGAATAACCAAAACCAGTGTTGAAATAGTCTCGGTTAAGAATTTCTTGCTTCACATCCCTCTCGTTTTCAAACAGACATAAAACAATTGCCTTTTTTTGCTGAAAGGAGTGAATAAGAGAAGGACATTGCATTGCAAAACCTCAAATCAAAGAGGGATGAAAGCTCTAGTAAAAGTTAATACTCACCAAGAATTTGAAGAGTATAGTCATTAATTCACCTTTTTAATACATATATAATATGGCTGCATTACACTGCATTTCCCACAGCCTCCGAAAGCCTGGACCGCACCTCCAACACCAAGCCCACAGCCACCACGTCCTAGACCCCGCTTCTTCATTTCCTGACCTCAGCGGGTGAGAAATGTTCAACACCCACCGTGCTTCCCTGCTCTTCAGCTGTGGCAGAAGTAATCCATAAATATCTCCTACTAATCTTCTGAGGCTATTGCAATATTTGCACTAAATCTTTAGAGACCTTGGGATGACGGATCTAAATAACATTTATCCTGTGCTAAAGGCAATTTCTGCCAAGGCATATATCAATAATTTACAGAATTACAATTAGCCTGCAAGTAAGCACAGTGAAGATCAGTAAAATAAGCACTTAACAATATAATAAATGTGACAACACTAAATTTACTGTGCATCAATTAGTCTTTTTCATCTCTGTTGCAGCCATTTATTATTAAAGAAATATGCAGCTACAGTGACACAGATGTGAAACGAAGTCACCCACTGAAGAAACTAAAACCCAAGGCTACGTTACCATAGGTGGCACTAGGAAGGTCAGAACTGAAGTGTGAAATGATGGTATGTGTGCATCAAAATACCACTTTCTTGCTTTTCCTTATTATCTCTGTAATGTTGAAAGGGGGATTCTGTTTTACTCATGATGGACCGCTACAGATGAGGACCTGCACAGCAGAATTCACTTGTGCCCACACACAGATGCCACAACTGAATCTGCTGGTTGCAGACATCCTTCAGACCAAACTCTGAGCCCAGACTGTGATGTTCTTACAGCTGTACTCAATTATTAATACCTGCCTGGCATCCCCTCTCATGTCAGAGATCCATCACCTTTTGGATAGTCTCCTACCACGCTGCAGAAGAAACAATACTTGAAACCAGAGAGGGGGTCACCCACCACACTCCTGTAACGCTCAGCCGAGCAATCTGGCTGCCCCTGAAACAGCTCTCTGCTGGCTCACGTGGAAGCCAATATGACAAAGCTTCTTTCCCCTGAAAGTGGTTACCTACTTGCAAATCCCATAACGAGTTGTCTAAAGAGTGGTCAAACCTTTAAAGAAGCACTTACATTCTTTCTAGATGTGGGGAAGACTCCTTGTAAGTAGAAAGAAAATTCATATCGAAATGGTGTTGAGTGTCATCAGGTGAATAGTGGCTTTACTCTTCTCTAGGCTGAGCTCACTGCACTGCTCAATTTATTTCACAGGGAAAAGTTTTATTAGCTCCTTTTGAGATACTTTGAGGATTTCTGGATTTAGGATTTTCACAGAACGGCTTTATGGAAATTTAGGATTTTCACAGAACGTCTCCGCACTGAACATGGGGAAAAAACCCGACTGCTTTTCCAGAAGAATGCTTGAGTTGATAATATTGTGTTTAAACTTTTCAAAGGTAGGTCACTGAAAATAAAATGGGATAAGGAAGACTAACCAAAAAAAAAACCAAACCACACCCTAACCCAAACGAATCTCTCTTCTGTAAGTAAAGGCAAAACAAAAGGTGAAAAAATAGGCACAAACTATTTAATGACTATAAGCTTTACGCAACTCCCAAGCAAATGAGTGGAATCAAGCAAGAAGTCACATCCCTGGCAACTCACTGGCAGAACACAAACTCTGTAGCTGAATGAACAACCAGAGAACCTGCACCTCAAACATTTTGGCTGCAACACCAAAGACGCAGTTCAGAAACCTGTTCTTCAAGGGTTTAACACTTCATTCGTAACAACACTTTATTTTTTCAGACAAAAGCTTGCAATTCAAATTGTACAACTTTCCTTTGAGAAAGTTCTAACGTTTATCAGTGCGGTCCAAATACAGTAAGGTAATGATCGACTTGTCACAAACACGTCAAGAAAATTCACTTGATTCAGTGACAAAAACAACTGAAGTCTTTTATATTCAGATTTAAGCCCAGCCACAGCACACTCATTTTATTTGTCAATTCTTGTCCTTGAGGGATGCTGATATACCTGCAAAACGACGACTCTACTGAGCAATGAATTTAATTTTTCATGCATTGCTGGCCAGCATACCTGAACTTTACTTGCTAATCCATTTCCCATAAGACGCCCACAGACATGCCAAGCCTCTAATGCAGTTTAAAAATCTATTTTCAAGCTGCCAGAGAAGTTTTAATCGCTTGCCACAAAAGTTCACGCTGCGCTCTGTTTCTCAACAGACAGAGAAACACGATACACAGCAGAGATCCCAGGGGCGAGGAACTTGGCATCACGGAGTAACAACAGAGGTACGGCTTTTGGTACGCCTACTGCTAGTGCTGGAAGCAATCTCACCACTATGCTGCTATCAGGAGAAGAAGTATTATTAGGTGGTTTAGGGTTTAAAATTGTATTGCCAGTCTAAAGGACTTGTAGATATCCAATTTTAATGAAAGGTAGCATCAAATCCACATCAAATCCCTCTGACTAATGGGGTCACTCTACAGCTACAAGGACTAAAGCACAGATGTTCCTACACACATACGGGAAAGTGTGTGTAGCTTCCACTGTATGAACAGTCCCCTTACAAACAGGTGACTGAGGGCTGTCTTGCTTTTCCTGCAAGGGTAGTGCACACAACCACATTAAAACTGTTTTGGGCATGTTTACACATCCTGCCATCCCATCTGACACAAATGAAATGACAAATGTTCACGGATTTTGCAAGAGGTAAGAAGAATCTCAGCTCTGTGGACTCCTATTGCTCTGAACGTGCAGGTGCACAAAAACACCGTAAAAACCCTTCCCATTTCTAAGCTGTTGATACAGACCCATTTTATGCAGACATTTCTGCTCTAAACAAATTACACTGATCATACTTTTTTCCTACTCCTCTCACTCTTAAAACTCTGTATTTTGATTACTATGGGTGACCACTACGTACTTGCAAAGTGTTAGTATGCTTTGTGCAGGGTCTCGCAGAAAGAAACCTCACTTACATTCCTAAGTCTGGTTTGTTTCAGCCTCTACGTCCTACTCTAGTAAAATTTACATAAATCCACACTTACTTCATCTCTGTAGAGGGGACTGGTATAATACATGATATCCATCGCGCTGCTGTTCAGCATATCCCTCAAGCCTCGCACTTTATCTGGAGTAATGGAGTCCACAGTGTCTGAAAAAAAATTAAAAAAAAAAGAGACTAGAGTTACACACAGGAGAATGATAAAATCCACATAAGGCACATGCAGAGAACGTGGTATGTAATTTCCGGGGACAATTTTGCAGACTGCAGCTACTGGAATAGGAAAAGAACCAAGTAATGTACCTCCATCAAGGGTAAGTTTTGATCTCCATTCAACTGGAAGAAATTCAACATGTGTTGCAAGATTGGAAAAATATTTTTCTTCTATTTTTCTTGCAGTATCTCGCATCCTAGAAAAAACAAGCAAACAAACAAACATGTTCCTGTACAGACTACTATTGGTGCTCTTAGCAAATAAAGCCAATGTATCCCCCAACACTTTTCATATAATGAAAAATTCTATGCATTACATGCTCAAAAAAAGAGTTTAAAAAAGCTTTAAAGAGCTTAACACAAACCACCTAAATTCAGTTAAAAGCTATCTGTTAACTCTGGTGGGTTTGGGGTAGAATGCGATCTGAAAATTAAGAATTTTACCACCGCCTTGAAATCTCGAATCCACTGAAATCAACCATTTAGAGCAGTATGTAAGGAAGACAATTCATCGCTTTTAAAGACAAAGAAAACTATCCAAAATATTGCTTGAGAAGTCAGAATTTTCATTTTGCATATCAAAGTGGAAGGCTTGAGAGCTCTGAGATTTTGAAACAGGACCATTTATTAGCATTTCAAATTGCAGCAGCAGATGGACAGGCTAAGTGTCCTTTTAAAAGACTTCTCATTTTTAAAGCGTATCTGAACATGAACTTTGATGCACCTCTCTCAGGAGATGTGAGAAACTTAAAATACCCAAATCCCAAAGTATATCTGACCCTCTCTGTTTGTTTTTTTTTGGAAAAGGGGGATAATGGTATGTCATATTATTTTTAAAATGCTATTTTACTTGTGTTGTGTGAAAGACCCATCAGGAAAAAATATGAAAATCAGCATGAAATCACACAAGATAGTAAAATATCCATGCACTCTATCACAAACATGCAGCAACCACACCGAGAAAGTGTTATATTTTCCTTTCTTTCCTTGACATGAACCCTGGCTCCCAATGGCATTAGCATTTTTGAAGATAAGCACCAGAAACTAAATCTGACCTGGGTTTCCAGCAGCTGTTTCCCAGTTCTGAGCATCAGAGGGTTTTTTTTTATTTCTGAGGCAAAGCCCAGAGTTTCAACACTTTTTTTTTTTCCAATTTTCAAAGCAAACCTCTTTTAATGATTGCTACAACCAAAGGCATGATGACATGAATCTCATATCTGTACTTTTCCCAGTCCAAATGCTGTTTAGTGAGTTTAACCTCCTACCTGAGACACTTTCCTTGAATAAATTAATGCTCCTCTGTTCTCCTTCAACAGAAAAGTGAGTTTAGCCTAAATCACTCCAACACCTGAGACAGTAATCGCTTAAGGTGCTTCATTTGATGGGCACTGTCTGCACCAACGCAGCATCAGCACTACAGAGATCACACGGAGAAAACTGCCAAAATCCTGCCTTGAGTTTCAGCCTCCTTTTAAAGAAAAACATTTTCTACGAAGATAACTCATTCTTCTCCATCGTGTTTTTCCCCAGGAAAAGGAAAAGCCCATTATGGCACTAAAAAACCACACCAATGATGTACCAAACCTTTGAAGCAGGCAGTCAAAACACTTTTCCATCAGTGACACCTCATTTCTGATGAAGGAACAGAAAGGAAGAACAGGGAGCATCCTTTATGCGCTTTCTTCCAAAGCGGTTACTGATGGCCTGACCAAACAGCCAAGACATGCAACTCACGAGCATTTTGGTTTGATTGCATCCCTAACCTCCAATCCAACGAGATGGTAAAGGTTCCCATGATGGGGGGGGGGGGGGAAATCAGCAAGAGGATCTGCTTAAATCAAGATTGATTTAAGGCTCAAACTGACCTTAGCACAGAACAACCTACCCCACTTATTTGAGAGCTCAACTTCAGCTGCATGGAATTTCTAGATTATCAAGAAGATAAAAATCCAGGAAATACATTAACACTCCTGGAGTAACCAAAAGAGAAACACACCTGTCTGTACACAATCAGGTTACTACTAGCAGAAGAAATGTAGGGATCTAAAATCTAAGTGAATGTTCTTTGGAAAGGCTAACGATTCTTCGGTATTGCCAAGTCAGCTTAATTTTTTCTGCATGGAGGAGGATGGTGGCCGGTTGAGATGAATTCATAAAACATAAGTTTAGGAGGAAACCAGCCAACCTAAAGCTGCTAGGCTTAAAAGCATGAAGTATAAATATGTTGTATGAATAAAGCACAGAATTCTACCCAGCAACAATTACTTGAAGTGAAAGAACTGATAAATAACCTGGTCCTAGTAGTGCAGGAAAACCATCCAAACTATTTACATATCGGTAGCAGCTGTCAACATGATGAAGAACTAGCGATTAGAGCTACTGACATCCCCATCTTCCCATCCCCAGCCACGATAGCTACAGGGTTTCTTCGTCTTCAAAAGGGTCCAGGTCTTCCTAAAAGCTATTCACAGGCAAACTGACACAGAATTTTTAAACTAGAAGTCTAATTGCTAAAGCTAGATATATCTGAGTTTGTAAAAAGCAGTGCAGCCTGGCAATTCTGCCAAAGCTTTTGGGGAAAGCTTCAAGTCTCCCCTCCTGAAAGCTGTGCATTATCCCAAATTCTGTGAAATGCAAAATGTAATTTTACTTGCATCTAGAGGGTTCCCCTCACGTCAGCTGAGGTTGTCCAGACACGGCCCAGCCTCTGGCAGAAGTCCCAAACTTCTGCTAGAACAGATTATAAACAAACATTCAAAAGCACTTGGGTACCTCACAAACCAAAATCCAACTCTGTGCATCTTCTTTATGCCTTGCAAAATCCATCCCTCTCTTTCATGGTTTACAGCAGCAATGTCGCAGCGATCTCCTGATCACATGAATCACGGAGGCATTAACACACCCGCAGAACAATTCCCAGTGCAACACATCCCATTTACAGCCAACGGCACTACACAACATCTCCCACTGATTTTAATCAACAGTTTGATATAAATTCTCAAAAAAAATGTGGTGGAATTGCCAAGACGTGGCTATGCAATGTGACATACACACCTGACTATATACGTTTATCTCTATTTTTTTCTTCTTCTGGCTTTGTAAAAAGAAATATTTTGAGCTATTTTATTAGATGGCAAGTCCCTCTACTCACGTGCTAAATTAACACCAACTGAAGAAACAAATCCTCACCTGAACAGGCAGAGAATTCTTCTCCCTTCCAATACAAATGGATGTTGAAATATTGACCCCAGAGCAACAATTATTTCAATCTATACATTGAAACACATGGTAATGACGACAATTTATGATTTTTCTAAGACAAAAAAATCACTCAGGTGCAGATGCAACACGTACCTTTGATGTATTGTTATTTTCCATGCAAGAAGTAATGGCCTGAAAACAGATACCTTGAGACTCACCATAAGTAAAATGTGCTTGGCTGCCTCTTTCTGATTAAAATAATAAATAATAAAACCATATTTTCACTGGGATACATCCTTGCTTAAGCAAATATATTCCAGAGATATGTTACAACATATTTACGGTTATTGCTGTGGGGTTTTTTTTAATCTTATGCTACTAATTGTACTCTTGTGTAGGATTCACAAATACTACATGAAAAACTGGAGAGCTACAAACCAACTTAGCATCAGCTGGTTCACAAATTTTCTAAAATGACCTTGATAGCTGGTAACAGAGCAAAACGCCTGAAGGCTTGAAGATGTTACTCATTTTATTCCCAAGTCATCTTTGCAGACTGTCCCCAGTCAGGCGATCCATAGCCAAGAAAAAGCGAGTGGTCTTTAATTTAAAAAGCATGACACCAGGCAGCTCCTTACTCTGAACAGTTGATTTAAGAGATAAGGCAATGGGATGTCCCCACAAAAAACTTCAACTCGCACCACTGCCTGCAAAACCGTGTGGATCCATTCCTGGATTTTGGTCACACATGCAGTAAATCACGCTCTCAAGCATTCCCCAGCCTCAGATGGAACACAGCCCTCACTGCCTCTTTGAGGAAATCATCTCACGAGTTATTGAGGAAACTCTGGGCTGGTCTGAGCTAAATTTAGTAAGTCCAAGTGAGAGTAGCGGGCATGAGTAATAAAAACCGAGATCTGCTCAAGCCAGAGGAAATGAAAGGGATGCTGCTTTCAACAGCTTAGCTGTGCCGCAGAAATGGGAACTCAAGTCTTATTCAAGGCAGATTTCAGAGAGACGTGAGTTGTCTTCTGCCACTTCTTCAGGGATTCATCTGCTCTCGGACCAGACACACGACCACTGCTGCTCTAGGACACATGTGGACTCATTTCACTTTGGAAGAAAGATGGAAATTCTAGCACGCAAAGTAAGAGCGACCGTGATTCACACTTCATCCTTTTCAAGCATAACGGGACGCTGCATGACCAAAGCAACTCAAACTGCTCCGTTAGCTGATGATGGGATCCCTGGGACAAGCCTGCAGAGATTCAGGTGCTCCAAGCATGAATGCTGCCCTCCCAGCACTGCTTCCCAAACAGCCGTTCCAGTTTTTTGGGCCAACTGCAGTGATCCAGTTTACAATGGGACTGTACTAACCGTCGTGCTGGGGTGGGCAGGGAAAGGGCAGCACCGGGCAGAAATGAGGGCTGGGGGGAGGATGGGAACAAGAACAGATCTCGAGATACCTCCAAGTCCTAAACAGGCTATTTGAGCTTTCGCCCAGTATGCTGTCATGTGTGAGACAATTAATAAATGTAGTACACAAAACAAGCTCTTACGAGAGTATTTCATGCCCTAACTATTACCTTTTACCTCTTGGGCTGAATATCTCATTTAGCTTGTGAGACAAGCTCAAGTTGAAACCTGTAAGGCAATTTTTACCATTTGGATACTTAATTTCAGAAGAACATGTAATTATTACTAGCACCAAAGAATGGAAAACAAGCACATAATATGTATTTAATGCAATGTAAGCACTTAAATGGAAAACAAGCAAAACTACCAAATATCGGAAAAGCTAAATACCATAGGAAAAATTTTATAGGAAATCTTCGTTTTAAGATTCCAGCAGCACACATTTAATGTACTGAAAGGCCTCTGCACTCTGTAAGGGCTTGCATACCACTGGAAATTTACCAAAATAGCTATTCCGATGTAATTATTATAATGATAATCCACAATTAAAATGCTTTCTAATGGGTCTTGCAATAAAAAAGTAATTGGTGATTATGGAACGCCAAGATGCTGCTGCTTGTGCAGACAGCAATTTTTGTGCTACGAGCAGCAGCACAGGCAAACACAATTTTCAAATCAAAAGAGGAGAGGCAGACAGATACCAGCTTTAGGGTAAGAGCAGCCAAGAAGCGTCACAACATTACAGCTATTATGGAAATACACAGAACAGTTGCTCCGTTCAATTTTCAAGCACAGGAGTTGATGAGATTTAGAGGGCCAGCCTAAAGGTCTGACCTTTACCCAAGTCAGGTAAAACAAGAGGATTTTTTTTTAAAGAAGATTGGAAACATGGATAGTAACATTTCTAAATTCTATTTAATAGCTGTGAGGATACTTCCCAGCCCCCCAAATCTAGAAGCACAAGTTCAACAAAATCAGGTATTTGGCTTCAGTGGAAAAAACAATCCAAACAACAATATGAAAGTGTGTACAGTAAAAAAACCCGATATCCCAAAATGTTGTGTTTTTTTTTTTTTTAAGTTAACATTGTACCTTAGAATACTGCACCTGTTGGGGAATAAAAACCCTCCAATTAGAGCATGCTATACCATAACATCTTAGCTTATATTACACAGAAATATAGAATATATTATTTTCTTCCTTAAATAGTTATCCCTATGCTACAAAGTGGCTCCCAGCACATTATTCTGTTCACGGCAGGCCAGCTGAATCACAGTTCCAGCCTGGAGGAGGTACTGGCTCTTCCCAGACGAGTTCTGCAGTTAATATCAGCACCGACACGAGCAGGTTGTTGTACCAGCTGCTGTGCTACTTTTAGATAATAAATGCGTTTAACTACACCGTGGAGAAACTAAATGATGTCACATCTACCAGAGACCTGTTCATTCGAGCATCGATAAAATGCATTTTTCCCATTTACCTACGTACAGGACACCCTGCGACCACAGCGTCTGACCACATTAATGATTAGATCGAACTCTGTTCCTTAATGAAATTAGAGCATACAATTTTAAATTACCCTGGTCTGTTTTCACCTCTGTAACCAACAGGATCTGCCTAATGATGCGGGTGCATCACATGAGCTGCACCAATTTCTTCTCGAGGTGGTAACCTGAGGACAGAGCATATCAAATGAGCTCTGGCAGGGGCTCCCAATAGACAGAACATTCCACGTCTGGGTTATAAGCTGTGTTTTTGCACTTTTTTTTTTCTTTCTCTTTCTTTTAGGACCGCCTGTACAAGTGAGGCTTTTGTGCGATGAACTGAAGTGTTGCTCTCACACAGGTTGAAATAAATACAAAAGTTTTATCCCTGGGTGGACTGAACGCCCAAAGAAGAAACAATAACTGTATGTGGCAAAGACTAAATACACAAGAGATTTTTTTTTTTTTTTTGGTGGATGGTATAAAGGGAAAGCACCGGAACAAGTATTCCCTTCTGGAGATCCCGGAGTCCCTCCGAGCACCACAACACAACAGTGCAAGGTGTCAGAGTTTGCCTCTTCTTTCTACCCATCAGAATATGGTGATAACAAAGTTTACAGCAGGCTCTAGAAACAACATCTACCTGCTTATCAAAGGCACCACTGCCTTCCCATCCCAACGTTTAGTGAACTATATAGTGTGTCACTAAATTAGGATCTTGAAGATCTTCTGTAGGGCTAGAAGGAAAGACATCACGAAAATCCACCTACTTTTATGTCTGTTGACTCACCTACAGATCCCCTCCAACCTGCCTTGCCTCCATTCTCTCCCCATCCATGCCCCACAGTCAATGGAGAGGACAAAACCCACTTTCTGTTCCTAAGGGACACACACACCACCTACCCCAGTGTTCCCACACCAGCCCATGTCTATTCACAAATGACATCCAAGTCCTTCAAAGCTGCACACAGCCCAAGACAATGATGAGCTCCGAGGGCTGACAGCGCCTTCTGCATCTGCTGGTGGTACCCTGACAGTGGGGAGGGAAGAAAGGAGACTGATGGTCAGACCTATGGCTTAAATTATAGATTTAACATGGCTGCAACCACAGGTTTCCTACTAAAGAGCATAGATTTAAAAGGAAAAAAATACTGAGGTCTTTTCCCCTTAGCTTCTACTTTAAAGTATGAATGGTCAAAAAATATTTCTCCTTATCTGTTTCATCTTTTTTCAAAAGGCAATATTTGACTCCCTGTATCACTAAAGGAAAAGAATGTGGAAAAAAAAATATACACACACATAGCATGGATGAAGGTGCTAACACAAAGTGCTAATATGGCTTTTGAGAGACGGCCCAGTGTGTTCCCGGCAG